TGCCATATTGCCAAATAATTTTGATGAAACCATTTTTGTTTCAGTCCTTCTTCTCGTCCATATATATCAACCATGAGGCAAAAGTAAGTGGGTGCATTTTATGATGAGTGTTTCCCCATAATTTGAAAAGAATCCACATGGATTAGGCAGCAGTATCAGCTGAGAGAAAGCAGTGGAAAAATGAGAGAGGTGCAAACGAGGCAATTAGTCTGCAGGGATAAAGAGTTGTATTGCTTCATGTTGGAGCTACATGTAGGAGAACCTCATTGTGTGAATTTATAGATTTCTGTTGGGGTCTTTTGTCTAGCTTCTCCTTTGCCATTGTCTGTTTCTCTTTGAGTTTGATAATCTTCTACTTGTTTTAAGAGAAGTATTTTTTAATTCCATTGCAGAATGCAAAATATAGGTACAAGTTCCCTCTTTTTTTTTTTTGATAGGACAAGAGTGTTAACTTAGACTAAAACTCTTTCAATAAAGAATCTTTGTAGTATGAGCCTGTGCAGTATATATTGGTAGGTGAAATATGCAGACTAAAAAGTAAATAATTTCTTGCTGGAATTGAGCTCTGAACCATAAGTACCATAAGCAAAGTTACCATACTAAAAACTCCTTCTGATCAAGGCTAGGAAATACTAGTAAGGATTACTCACTCTATAGTGAAGATTAAAGCCAACATCCCATTATGAATCAAGAGACAAATACACTAAAAGCAAGAAACGAAAAACTATGAAATGCACAGGCTTCGTCTTGACCATGGGCAAACGATATTGGAAGAAAAAAGAAACCTTGAAAGAAGATTGAAAGAAATCTTGAAAGAAAAATCAGAGAGGTATTTCAAAACTGAGACTTTTTAAGAATGTTTCTGTTTTTCTCTTTCCATTAACCTGGAAAATAGAGATGAAATAGCTGCTATAGAATGGAAAACAAATCTTAAAAGGAACTGTTATTTTACTGAAGAATCCTTACAAAATCTTTATAATCCTTACAAAAACTCCTGATTGTCCTTATCAGACCAACAGTTCCAGAGTTTCTTTTACTCTACCTCATTTTAATGCCTTAGATAAAGACATTAAATAAACAGTTACATATAACGTTTCTAGGAGATCAAATCCAATTTTTGGAGAATCTTGTCCAAGACATACAGTATGATATAATCTGTTGAGTGAAATGAGATGGAAAATGAATTGTGCATGTACCTTAAACACTACTTTCTAAAACTCCAGCTTGCCTTGCAGATTATCAGATTACTTTAAATATGATTATTTAAGAGGGGCCAATAACATCCTTATCGTCATCTTCTATACCTTAAGTTCTCTCAAATAGCTTGCTTGCTTCATCTAACAAGCAGATTAGCCACAAAGCTTATTTTTACTATATACAACCTAGACTCTTTAGCTGAGTTTTCATTATCTCAGCAGACTTGCCTCTCACTATGAGCTGCTTCATAGGAACAGATTTTCTGCTAGACAAACTGTGATACTGCCATTAGTTTTCTCCCATCTTGTGCACTGGTTAAACAGTGATAAAACAACAGTTATACACTGTATATTGTTTCTTTTTCACCTAGGGAGCTTGTAGTATACATAAGTAGCCTGGAAGTTTCACAAAACAGAAGATTTCACCGATTATAATACAGTTGGGTTTGTTGTGTGATCATGTTTTATAGTAATATATAAATTTTTATTAGTTGGCCTATTTACTGAAAATTCAGAGGCTGAGTTCTCACAACTTGCAAACCACTAGTACAGAAGTTCATAATAATTATTATGAAATTTCTTCTTAAAATCCATAGATGCAATATTATTGTCAAATGTGGACAACTTTTGCCAAGAATTGGAGCTTTAATCAGCATTTTTTGTGGGTGGGTGTGAAAAACAAAAGAATTTTGTGGGTGTAAACAGAAAAATCACATTTTTCTCTGAACAGCAGTATAATAGCCACTTTTAAAAGCTAAATAGTAAACACAGAAGGAAAAGGTTTCACACCATAGAATGTAAGGCAAAATATTTCTGGCTTCCATATTGTGGGAGTTATTATAGAACACAAAATGTTAAGGAAAAATTGGCTGTGTGCTTGGACAGCTGACACTTCAAGAAATGAGTTAGAAATCAGAGTCCTTTTCAGAGCCATGCCATTTGTCAACCACTTATGGCTTTGCAACTAATTGAGAAGCGAGGCGTACACATATGCTTTATGAGCTACAGTTTGTCATACCTATATTTTGTTGAGATTTTTTTTCATGATAAAGCTTTTGTGTCATGTGTAAAAATCAGATTTATTTTTAAACCCAGAAATCATATTCACCTTAAAGTTAATATATCATTCCTATGTATATGTAATGTATAACTGTAAGACAGAGCTGGTAGACAAAGGTAATATCTTTTATTGAACAGTTATTATCACTGAAAAACATTGATAAGCTTTTGAACACATAAGCTTTCTTTGTATCTGAAACAGAAAAAGCGTATTTCAAGGGCAAACAACAGCTCAGAAAAATTGCTCAGAGTATCAGAAATATCACATCTTTGAGAAGAACGATAGCTGCTAGATACAGGTAGAGGATATACTAGTGAAGGGTGGGAGAAAAGAAATGAGAGCTTCCACTGTTATGTGTTTGGAGTAACACAGCTGCAAATCCCGATTCAGCAACCTAGCATGGATGGCTATCCATCAAGGATATTTTTACATGGAAATAGTTTATAAGTTTGAAAGAGTTGTCAAAAACCCACGTAAGTGATGGATCCAAAAAAAAAAAAAAAAATTGATAATGTTTTTTCTTGTGAAACACCCCCACACCCCCTGTTCACAAAAAGCCCCCCACGTTACTAATTGTGTCTCTCTTTTTCCCAGACTCAAATAAGTAGCTGTTGTAGGTTTGGTTTTGGATTTTCTGAAACTAGAATATTCAATAACAAAAAATGCACTCCAATAATCTATACTACAATTTGAAAATTAAAAAGAAAAATATTGAAGGATGTCGTATTGTCCTATTGACAGACAACAAGAAGAAGTTGCTGCTTCTTAGTCCTGCCTTTATGTACCATGATTTCTTGACTGCCTGGCCACTTCTTGTCTGATACAGGTTTCTCGCTGCAATGAACAGCGAGACTTGTCACAGCCTCCGACTTGTCACCAGAAGTTTGTAGTTGCTGTATTGCTGTCCTCTGTTCTCAGTGACTCTGGGGGCAGACTTCTTTTACCATCTCACAAATATTGTCCATAGTACGCTGGATGTCCTAAAGAAATACCCATCAGTTTAGGAATTTAAGTGTCTTCTGATTCTTGTTTTGTGAAGATCTTCAATCATGGTTGCTTGATATAGTTATTTTTGAACTGTCTCACGAGTTGACCCAGGAATATTGACCATAAATGCATCTGATAAAGGCGTTTTTCCTTATGAAACAAAAATCCAGTGAGTAAAAATTACAGATAAGCCATTATATATGGGATTGTGAAAATAGGAAATGTGGGTTTCATTTGTTCCCTCTTCTGCATGGTTCATTACAAGGACTTGACTTCATTCACGTGGGTGAATAGGGAGTATGCAGTTGTTCTTTTCAGTCTCCTGCAAGAGATTAACAATCAGTGCGTGTGAGACTATGTAAGTATGTAATTGGCACTATGTCTGCCAATAGTGAGGTGCTTAAGCAAACGTAAAGGACTTACTTTCAAGTATCTGTTCCAATTAATTTTCATTTATCATGGATGGATCGGTTTCAACATGAAAGACTGAAGCAGTCAAGTCAGTAGCTAAGATGTGCAAGACCAGGATTCAGATCTGCGCAGAGCCAAGCAGGGAGGAAAACGAGCCATGGCTGCAAAGAGAGAACGCATGTCTGCTGCTGGCTGACTACGGGATTCACCCGAGAAATGTGAAACCCCAGCTCAATTCTTGGCTGCTTGATTTCAGACTTTTCTTCCACAGTTGAAGTGAGAATGTGATTACTGGCTCCAAGTCAAGGGCTGGGTATTTGTTTGCTTAACCTCACAATTTTTTTCAGGATATTTGGAACTTCAGCTTGGTCTATGTGACAAAGCTTGTTAGGTGTGAAGGAGGAGGCATCTACCCAATTCCAGAATATAATCTCACTGGAACATAGGGCAGCAGCTAAGCAGTGTTTGAAAGATGGAAGCGGATGCTTAAGGAGATGGATGGATCTCAAGCGGTTTTGAGGATCATATTCTTTTCAGAGAAAGTGCTTTGCTGTTGAGTCACTTCTTAGCTGTATTCAGAGCTTTGACAGGCTGACAGCTTCTGGTTCTCCCCGGCTATAGGGAGTGTATGTAGCACCAGGGTGCTGGTGGGCGGAAGGAGGAAAAGGGAAGAAAACGAGGACAGAGTGCAAAATCCCTCACAGAGTCTATAACTCGGGAAGGTTAGCACACTTTGTATTTTAGGATTGGAGGGAGATTCCTGTTGAAAATAGGTTCCTAATTTCTCTACCATTTTTCACAGTAGAGACCAATGGAACTTCTTTAGAGTTCTGCTCCTGAAATTAATAGGAAATAAAATTAGGTCGATATCCTAAAAAGTTTGAAATGCTGTACAAATATTGATATTTGTGCTGTGCTGGATATTTGTTGGTTACAGTATTCTTTCCCTTATTTGTTATTTTGAGTGTCCAAGTGAAGATGTAAAGATCAGATTTTTCTGAAAAAAACAGAATATTATTCTTAAAATGGTTGGTTTGATTCCTACGGGTAACTTACAAAGTAAGGTGTATAAGCAAGAATATCAGAATCTGGTACTGACTTATCAAAAAGTGAAGATGTATGGGAGCATACTCATTTTCATTCTTTTCTTTAGATCTAATATTTCTAGATTTCAATATCTGACCATAAATCATATTTGAGACTTAATGATATTCTGCAGTGATACAAAATTAATTATTATTTACTAAACATACCTGTATAGATGGCATGAAGTATCTGTTGGCCTGATCACATTTTATTAGTATTGAAAAACTGAATTTATTTGTTTCTTTATTTTGTGTTTTCAGGTAGAGATTGAAAAGCTGGACTATCGTTACTATCTGCCTTTGTTTTTTGATGGGCTTTGTGAAATGACATTTCCATACGAGTTTTTTGCTCGTCAAGGAATCCATGACATGCTGGAACATGGTGGAAACAAGATTCTTCCTGTCATTCCTGACCTCATTATCCCAATAAAAAGTAGGTGAATGTGTGGGGAAAAAAAATGCCTGAAATTACATTTACATAGCATAGATTTTTGGCAAGTTGCTAATCAATAACAAAACATGGCAAGCTGCACATTTCGTGGGCATTATTGCAAACAGGAGTAAGTTGTAAGGTAGAAGGCCAGAAGGCTTATGCCTTCAATCACCTGGTATGTGCAGTAATCCCGAAGAACAGACTGGCTGGTTGGTGTTTTTCTTATTACAGTGTAGCTATTGGTCTTTGGAAATGTGAAGGGACATTTTCTTAGCTGATTTTGTATATTTATTACATAAATCCATTACTGTATAAACCAGTTAATCTGAAATGACAGGGGAAATCAATAGATGAAACTTACTGAATTATGTTTCTTTTTATCTGTTTGTTTATCCTACAGTTGTCATATTTATTTACTAAGTATCATTTCTATCATCATTCTCATTACTTTGCATATACAACTATCTATCTAAATTGGGAGTTCTGCCTTAATGTTGTGTGTAAAAATTTGGCATTTAAAAAAATATTAATTTTGAAGTTTTGTATATTCAAACATAGCTTTTTGTAGAAAAATTATGTGAAGGGTAATAAATTATTTTAATACAAGTCTTATACCACTAAAACTCCAAGCGTAATACCACTAAAACTAAAACTTCTTTTCTTGAAACACCTAGTCTTTCAGATACATTGTTTTGTCCTTTCCTGTTTCTTTAACTCGGTGCCTTGAGGAGATGTTATTCTGAACCATCATCCTTCTTCAGTTGGGCATTATGATTCTTAAGTCTGATGCTACCGCTATACTAATAGATGCTTATATTTGTTAAGCTTGCCTTCTGTTTTATCGTGGCCAGTAATGGTATTATTGGTGTCCTTTGTCCTGTTTCCTTGAGATGATTCAGTTTCCATGCTGATACGGAACAAAACAGAGTCATTGTATTTGTGATACAGAATGAACAGAGTCAAATACAGTTTTGGAAAAGGGGAAAGGGAATGTAGTTTGGAGCCTGATAATACTGAAATAATAGTGTTGGAAGGGTCAGAATGGTGTTTTTTCATTTGATTTGTTCTCCATTTAAAAAGATTAATTATAGATGTTGTTATCTCTATCTTACTGTATGTTTTGAAAAAGAAGAAATACATAATATTCAAAATGGTTACTCTGGAAGTGACATTTGTGAAAGGTTATGGAAACAGTTTTACAGTTTTCTCTCTCTAAAAGGGAAACACGTAAAGAGAGGAATTATGTGATTTCTTTAAATCTGTATTTCCAACACCACCCAAATATATTTATAGTAGTATCAATTTTATTGAAAGCTGAAATTGTTTCTTCAGAAAAGACTGCAAGTTTATGACAGAAGCTACTCAGGTAGGATTTAAAAGTCTTGCTGAGACCAGAATCTAGCTTAGAACAATTACCTGGAAGCTTTAGCTGTTACTCAGCATTGGAAAGAGACTGCTAGGTAAGGGTATTTGTACGGATTTTAAATCAAGTCATAATTTATGATGCTGGAACACATTCAGGAATCTGCTGACTAAATTTAGTTGTTGGTTCTGCTTTATTTTATTGTACAGTGCTTATTTTTTTATCTAAATAAAGCTTTTGTATCAGCTTTGATGTATGAGGAGTGTAGGTATTATCAATGATAAAGGCTTCTTCCTAATTAAAGCCATCTAAATATTAAAAAAAGACACCGCCATCTCAAGGAATCTGAAAGTGTGTACTTCTAGGAGTTTTAAAATTTGCTATGGCTGTGTAATATAGCAGTGTAGTCAGAGCTATACATTTCCGTGACTCGGCTGTATCCACAATAAACTCAGCTATGTTTTACACATATTACTGTCTCTGAAGTGTCCCAAGGGGTGAGTTATAGCTGATTAACCAGCCTTCTTCTAGACCACTACCATATTTCTACTGTGAAAGAGCGAATCAATTGATTGTTAGGCAAGGTAATATATATGATGGAGGGGAAAGGGATAAAGGAAAGACAGAAAAATAACTCTACAGATAGAATGCTCTTAAAAGTGGTTTTCTCTCCTGGATGTTCATCAAAGGAAAATATTAGTAAAGAGCTGCTCTCTAAAAACATTTTAAGTTAAATATTAGAATTCTGCATGACGTTTTAATGGTTTATGGAGAAATCTATCCTCTACCTGTGCTTGCTTAAAGCTCACAGTTTTTGAAGATCATTAAAGATGAAAATTATAATATTTAATGAATCTGTGGGTTACTGTAAGGCCAAATCCTTTGAACAAATTTTCTTCTGGTTTTGCAAACAGGCAATGACTAACAAAAGGCAGATAATTGAAATTAACAGGTCCAATTTCTCTCGAGAAATACCTGAAATGTGATTAAAATAATACGGAAGAATGCTATTTAGTTGAAAAATAATTGCTTATTTTTGTTTGTCACATTGAAGCGCACTCTTCTTTTTTTGGAAATTCAGAGGAAGAAAAAAATCTCAGGTTGAAGGCATTGATTTTTTAAAGAGAAAAATGTTCAAAATATATTTTGATTTCTCAAAATAAAAATTTAAAATATATTGTACCTTGTTGTGCCAAAACGTGATAAAATAGTTTATAAATATAGTCATTGCGTGGCATAAAACCCAGGAAAAACAGGTTACCTGTATATGTCAAACTTGTAAGGAATCCAACTAAAATTAAAAATTGCAAAATCAGAAAATGTGAGCACTTTAAGGTGTTAAGACTTTTTACTCCCTTTCACAGAAGCTGTAGGCAAACCCATTGTCTGAGTTATTTAAACTAGAGCAATGACTTATAAATTGAGATATGTGGCAAATGTACTTTGTAGAGCTATTTTGAAAGTTCTGATGCACAACACCCAGCAGAATATCTTCTTTACCAGAAAGACCTGTATTTTTATTTTTGTGTGGCAGACAAGCAAAGAGGTAGAAGGAGGCTAATTTTGCCCCACATCACGAGATGCGTTGGCGGCAGAGAGCAGCACAGACCCCAGACACACAGCCCTGCAGCAGCAAGCAAAGCTGCCTGCTGGTCCCATGGGAGTTCCTTGGTTTTAGGCACAGAGGGATCTGTCTGGCCCCACCATCTCTTTCAATAATGCGCTGGTGTATCTTAAAACTCACTTGTGGCCTGCCAGGACCTATAGCCAGCCAAGAGTAGTCAGCAAGAGGAGTGTGAGGGTGAGAGATGACTGTTGTGCCATGTGCTTGTCAATGGAAAACTTCTGTTCTTAATTCTGTGTGGTCATTATGGGAAGGTAAAAGTCCTTTTGATACTCATTTTTTGAGCAAATTATTGCTTTTAATTTTACATTTGTCATAACAAATGCCAGATCAGAAAAGCCCCAAGTTCTCCCGCTTGCTTTCATTAGTCTCCTGGAACGCTGAGATTCGATGTGAGACACCCATGCCGAGATGGACACTGAGGGGGCAGGAAGGTTCCACACTTTTCCCTGATATTTCTATGAGTACCATCAGGGACATCCAGCACAGAGTGTGGAAGCACCTCCTCCCCTTCCCAAGGCAGCGAGCGTGCTACCATTTTCAGTTTCTTTGCTGGCAGCGTAGTTGTAGGAGTTCCCGACCCCTTCACACACAAAGTGACCAGTCTTTCTAGCTCCCAGACTCCGGTTCATCGCAACTGACTTTTGCTAATGCAATTTTTTGTGGAGCAACTCTGTGAATCTCACTTGTAAATGGATTAAAAAAATAAAAACAACAAAACAACCACCAAACCTAAAATAAAACCAAAATATTTTCCGAGCGGTGTTACTTTTAAACTCAGATATCTCATTTCAGTGTCTAGTTTATAGCTGCACTGTCACAAATGAAGGAACAGTACGCAACAGCACGGAAGCTGCAGTAAGTGAGTAGAGATGATCAGTAGGAACATCCTGAGATAGCTTTGCTAATGAAGAAAACAATGTGAAATTAAACAATTAAGCATCACCCACTTGCCAGCATCTTTTCTGTGCCGTGAATCCTAAAATGGACACTTATGCAAGCTGAACTTGCCAATAAAGCTCACATCTTTGCACTTGAGTTGTAACTTAGCTGGGAGTATTGTTTCTACACAAGTTGCAGTCAGCAGACCAGCACTTCTGACCGAGTCCAAAAAGAATAATCTCCATCCTAAGGAACACTGAAGTTTTCCTTTCTGAGACTTCTTCCACACTGTTAAAAATCCCTTCTGTCACGTAGCGGATCAAAGATACCTTATACTTGGTTGAAAATGTTTCATTAAGGGAGACAGATATTTTGCGAGTCGGATACACAGAAATGCACAGAGCAGTCATCCGTCAGTGTCATCTAGACAATCTTTTTAATGTTTAATAAATTTCTAAATTAAACTGATTTCTGTTTCCTTATGGTCCACATTCTATTTGCAAGTAAAATGTGGATTCTTGTAATGTAAGTTGATTTCTGTCCTGTACAGAAAGTAAATTAAGCCTTTAATAGAATTGTTATCTTCCTCCTGACTGACCATTGCTCCTGAGAACCAGTTCTGGCTGTTAAGGTCATAGACTGAAATTTAACTCTAAACAAACTTGTTTTTATAGACTTAAAATCCTTTCAAAGAAAGCAAAGGTTTCTGATTAAAAAAAAAAGAAAATCTTGATTCTTAAATACAAAAGCATTGCTCCCCTGTAGGATTCATCAACCAGTACAAGTGATTGCAATTAGAAGATTTGTGTTAGATTCTTCCGCTCAAAACCGGTCAGTTCAGGTAGTTTCCAAGGGTGTAGAAACTAGATTCTTTATTAATGCTCTTTACTCCTTTCTGTGAGGAGAAACTGTGTTTCTCATTCAATAAAGATAAATCTCATCTATGTTTGGAAAGTGAAATCTGCAATTAGCATCTCTCGCTTTTGAAGCTGGAGTTAAAGCTATTCTCTCCTGAAATTGTTAATTTATTAATATCTAACATTTATTATTGCCGCATTTCATTTGCCATTTTATCATGAAGTCATTCTGTACTGTAAAGTCCTTCTGCAGTTCTCCCTTGTCTTTGGCATG